TTTTGGTGTTTGGAACAATATGGCAGTGACAATAAGGCCAGTCAGTGTGTTTTTTTAACCAGATTCTGAGAACTTACATTGTTCAGTATTGATTAGGTAGGTATTTTTGCCATGAACACTTACAAAATGTGACAATTCTTTTTCAGGGAATTGCTTCGTTGTTGATACCGTCTGCTGCCAAGACAAACACAAACATTTAGTTTGCAAACTGTACCGAGTTCTTATTTCGCTTTTTCATGATATCATTTAGGGAACATTTGGAAACCTTTTTTTAAAAAAAAAGAAAGAATTAAATCTCATGTGACAAAGGATTAGCAAATCACATCACAGAATTTTGATGTGGTGTGTTATAATAATAATATTCACCTTGTCTTATCAAAGATTGAGGAAAAGGTATTTAAGGTGGAAACAAATTTGCTGTTATCGTCCTTCCAGTTGTAAACTATTTGTTTGTAGTTGTAACAACTCAAATAATTGATTTTATGATAAACAGGTTTGGGATCTCAACCAAGTTCAATTTTGATATATTTCATGTGTATATTAATCAAGCTATGAATGAAAATATGACTTATAATTTTCTTTTTCTTGGTTTCAGCTCGATGAGATATTAGATAAGAGGAAGACTAAGTTGGATTCAGTTATCGAGTTCTCAATTGATGATAGTTTATTGGTACGTCGTATCACCGGGAGATTGATACACAAAGCTAGTGGTAGGTCTTACCATGAAGAATTCAATCCACCCAAGAAGCCCATGACAGATGACGTAAGTAAGACATAACACTGAATACTTGGAAACAATTGTCATGCCAGCCAGCTAGTAATGGATACTGCGTTATGTTTGATGTGGACTCATGGCTTGAAATTAATAGTTGTCCACTTTAACTACACATGTCCAACTACATTGTAGACGCAAATTTTGCAGAATCAATCAGAGCTTGTGTTACAAGCCACTTACTTAAAACGACAGTCTATTTTAGTAAGGCTTGCTCTATGTGACAAATCCAGTCAGAGGAAAGCTGCCAAATGTGATTTACATAGGTAGTTAAGAGGCGTGGCCATAAAACTGTGATTGCAGCAAAGCACCTAGAGCCTCTACCTCGTAAGGCATGTTGTATACAAAAGATCAGTTCATCCACCTCATGTTGGTTATGTTCAGATGTAAAATAATAGAAAATGTGCGCACATCTTATTGCAATAATTAAACTGTGACCTGTTGATTATCTAGGTCTTCATTTGATCATACATTGGTAATATTTGATTCATTTTCTTTTTTCTTTCTATAGCTGACTGGTGAACCATTGATAAAACGTTCAGACGACACTGAAGAGGCACTGAAAACTCGTCTCCAAGCATACCACCAGCAGACATCGCCATTGGTCGATTACTACCAAAAGAAGGGAATCCATTCCAAGATTGATGCTTCAGCTGCACCAGATGCTGTCTTCGCCAGCATCCAGGCAGCCTTTGCCAAATCGAAAAGTAAAGACACTGTTATGTTTGTGTAGTTGACAATTCAAACCATCATAGACATTTTTCTTGGTCACTATTCCTCTCTCCAAATTTGATCGCAGATATTTTCTAATTAATTGCATGACCATAATTTAACTGCCGCTATCGTGAAAATAAAATTGTATGTATAGTGTAGTAATAATTCAAAGTTGAAATTTCAGTATTGCATACCAACCACAAGTAATCTAAAACAACTTGAGATGGTCCTAACTTTTATTGTCATACAAACTTTAGATCAAAATTCCCTTGATATGGAAGTACCAGTTAACATTTAAATTTAAAGATCATCACACTGTTATCCCACATGATTAATTCTGAGCCATGTTGATGTAGACAACTTTGCTGTCACTGCACATCAGATCAATAAAAATTAATTAATACTGTGGTATAGACAACATGTCTCTTGGTAAAGCCCTTCACTGAATCCATCTGTTTTTTTCAATGACTACAATAATTGCTAATTAAATTGCTGTCCAGCTACCTTACAGTATGGTAAAAATCAGGACAAGCAATTTTTAAATTAGTAGTTCTCGAGAACAATGTATTTGATGTGATTTAAAACATTCAGTTATGTAACTATGAACCAAAAGATAAAAAAAATGATGTGCATGTTGATGTGTATCATTTTGTAAATTGTCATCTATATTATATACATTAATTGTGTTGGTAAAGTAAGCTATGAAAATCTCCACTGATGCCATATGCTAAGAGTTTAAGTCAGAGTTTACTAAAAAAAAATTTTCGAGTACATTGTATGTAATTCTATTACTAGTAAATCATGCGTGCAATTTGTCTGTCTGCTCACCGTAGTACTCAAATCCACTGTAGCCAGGTAGAAGGGTGCGTATAATAGTTGTTATAGAGAATGATAAACTCCATGTTATTGTATGTTTAGTTGGTACTTGTGTGTATACCTTGTTATTTAAGACAATGCTCAGACGACATCTGAGGATCTCTTACATTGAGTAGTTAATTTATAGATGTGCTAAATTTGGAATGCAATTACGTCTACCAACATCCACTGCTCCAACTTTAGTACCCAAATGAGATTTCTGCATATCAATTTTTTCATAAAACAATATGTATAATTGTAATAACATTGTTCTTGCATGTTAAGGTCATTCGAAATAAACTAGATACATCACAGTACTTATTTCATCCCATTTCCTTGCGTTGGTGCAAAATCCTCAAGCAGACTGAGGCGAAGAATCACCAAGTTTTCTTTAAATAATCCCTTGCACCTATTACAATTCTAGGATTTTGAATTGAATCGAATGCAAGTTTAAAACCACGATTACCATAAAAATCTCCCACTTCCAAATTTGCTTAGTCTGAAGGGCTAATCTGCACTGGCTCGGAAGGTTGTAAATGATTAGCTAGTTTGAATTTGCATAACAATACTGACAATGAACGTGCATTCAACGCCACAAGTTTTTTTGTTTTTTTAGCCAATCAGAATTCATCTTCCGAGCCAGTGCAGATCAGCCGAAGGTTTTGCATCAGACCTGCTATTCAGTCAGCTGGCGCACACGTGATAATAAAATAAATACGATATTTACTATATGGGGGCCGCCATCTTGAATGACGCATAAAACTAAATAAGAGACAAGTTGTGAAACGCGTTTTTCAGATTCCTACAAATCAGGACAAAAATACCAATCTTTCACAAAAATACGATCCGTTGGGGTTATATTAAGCCAACTGATAACACAATTCGGCCGAATTCGTCGTTTTTGTGTGGAAAAATCCCTTGCATATGAACATCTAATTACGCGAAGAACATAGAACACTAAGCCGGGGTATTTGAAACCGAAATTGTCATCTAAGCGTTAGGTCGTCGCTGATTGGCTGCTGTGCTGGAATGCCATTCTCAACAAATACAGTTCCTACTGTAAATTTATTTTTGGGCAAAATATTTACCCCGGTAGATCTCCATAATTTATCCCAAACTAATATTTTGAAACTTATTTGAAATCTTGCCATGTTTTATTTCTGGAATACACTTATTCTGAGTAATGAGTCACTTACCCAGCCATGTGATAGATCATGCAATTATATTCAGACAATATCCTGCACACACAACACATTATTTGCCCAGATCTGAACTAATAAGATGACATAAGATACCTTGGAGAATGTCATTGCACAAACAAACCTAGAAGTTTATTCATGGTGCAAAGAGTTACACTGAATATAAATCACTTAAACTTCCCAGAGATGAAGTTGTTGAACATTCATTGTAATAATGGTTTTGTTTTTTGCTGAACTGTCACAAGAACAGCATTAACAAAATCATTCCAAGAGTTATCAAGACGCCAAAAGTTGTCACAGCCACCCAAAAAGACAACAGAGAAACGTTTCATGACCTAATTTATTCTGAAACTCTTCTCGTGTAGAATAAATTAGACTGCTTCACATTACAAATACGATAATAGAATCTAGATACAAGAGCATTCATGAAGAGAGCCACCAACTCCCAGTCTTGTTATTGTCAATTTAAAATTTTTCAACAATTATTCACTCAAATGAGTATGTGACTCGTAAACCACCAACGAAACACATTTTTGTTTTCTATTCTAGACAACTGAACAACCCTGATGACGTAGATGCAAGCATCAATGATTAATCAACACTGCACCCTCTGGTGTCAAGAACTGACAAGCTATTTGTTTTACATCACTAATACAGCTGTCAAAAATTATTTGATATGTTTACACTCAAAACTGAAACAATAATTCAGATAACATTCAAACTATGTAATTTATTAAATAAATGTTGCAGCAAACTATTCTTGGACAATAACATTTTTATGTGTTGGTCTTTATACTTGTATCCCCGTATTATACCATATATGCTCTATTAGAAGTCTCCTATAACAATGCAAGTAACCAAACAATTTATTCTATGCTGCGATTTTTCAAATATGACAACATTTAGCAGTGATGGGAGACAAGTCGATTCCGCCTCAACTTGACGAAGACGCTAAATTGTTTACCACGTCCATATTTTAGAAACCATGTCCCACTTTTGTGAAATCGTGCCCAAATTGTAACTCGATGTTCAATAAAACAGTTAACAGAACTTTGAGCTACGGGCAACATACATTTTTGTTTTTGTTGAACATTTAGTAACGCAAACCTTAAAGGGCGGTAGTCGTCACGCCATGCATGCGCGAGATATATGGGTTTCATATAAACAAAGATGGCGACTATGACTGTTGCGCAGATCAACGAGTACAAACTGGGACGTTACCAAGCTTTAATTAAGTATTTTTTAGGTGATTTGAAGATATCGAAGGAGTCATCGGCGGTAATTATGTCGCACATGCACAGCGTGACGACCACTACTGCAGTTAATCGTACTTCAAGTTACAGGTAACATTTTTCAGCATCTCAACCTTTAAATTCATGTGGAAATAAATGACTTGGAATCAACATGATTAAAATCCAATGTAGGTCACAGTATAAGCCCCAATTTTTAAATTTGTTTTTATGTATATTTATGACTAAGAGGTTAATACAAAGATACCTCAAAGTATGCACGAAGACAGTTACAGCGGCAGTATTGACCGACACACAGCGGAGGTCGATGCGACAGCGTACTGTCTGAGTGCATACTTTGAGGTATCTTTCGTAATAACCTTATTATTATACATCTTTTCCTTCCAAGGATACATCTTGGGAATGCCAAAATCCAAAAAGTTTAGAACAGAATCAGCGAACTTCTTTGTATGGAGTCTGGTCAAATCCTGGTGGCAGCCATGTTTGTTTTTTATTATTAGAGGACGCTTACGCGTGTAATCATTCCATATTTGAAATTCACATCTTCTAATAAGGTAGTATGAAAATACCCCGTAAAATACCACAAAATTACGGCACGCTGTAACTTGTGGCGTTACGGTGACAGATGTAGAATTTTTTTTTTTTACTTGCTGTTACTTTACTTGTTTTTATATCATATCCCAGCTGTTATTAAGGTGACCAATATAAGATTTATAATAAAACATAATAACAAGAAATTGAAAAAAAAAATTGGAACCTATACTCTTCATTGGATTTCAATCAGTATTGCGACTGTTTACCGGTAAGTTTGAATGAAATCTGTTTATACATTTCTGAGAAATTCTTATACATTACCCACAATGAAACACCACTCAATCTCTTACCTCCATCAGTCCACACCTGACAGGTTTTAATAAATCCTAAATGGAATCGCTATTTAGAAAATCACAGTAAATCTCATTACCGTGGACATAAAACATATACCTTGTCGTTTTTGTTACGGTCACTGACATTATTAATTCCAATCACTAGGCATAGACTTCAAGTTCAATGTTCTTAACCCTCAACACGACTGGCACGGAGGTACATGGTACCATACCTATTTCAGTTATCACCATATCTACAAAGTCTGGAGGTGTCACGTCATAAACCAAATTCAGAAGATTGAGTGAAGGGATTTCGCTCCAAGATTCAAGATATCTGTTTTGTTTTCCGATCTCTACAAGATCATTTGGATCACCTGAAAAGAAGAAAAAAACTTTCATAGAATTTTACTTTTCCTCAAAGTGCATTGTTGTTAACTCATAACACACTAACATAAAATATGAACAAGTTTTGTTAATGCGAGAGCGTTGTCATCTGCGCATACGCGAGAATCGAGTTCCAAGCGATGATAACAACACATGGACAGACGCTTGTTTGTAAACAATGACACGTTATAGCCATTTGACACATGTGCAGGTGACGACTCCCTCGCTTTAAATCTTCCCATCACTGTCATATTGTTACGAACACCGAAATAGGAACATTGCCAGCTAAATTGCTGACTTGTTTGCTATACACCGGTATGCGTGCCTGGAGATTGTTGCATGAATAAAACTATTGCAATCATTCATGGGCAGTTCAGCTGACTTTGCACATTTACTAGTGTTATGCCATGTACTAAACACAGCAGCGACTATGCTTGGCTGCGTCAGTACATATATTTTGGTTTTTTTGTGCTATTGAAAAAATTTATTGATTGGATAATCAATTTTGCAAACCAGTCAGCAATTTGAATGGCAAAGCTGTTGTTTTGGCGTTCGGAACAATATGAATGAGACAAAAAGACTAGCATGAGCTGTGCTTCGTTTCGATGAAAATGTCTTCTGTCTGAACATTTTTCAATGATGCAAATACAGAATCATCAAACGGCAATTCTACAATAGACTAACACAATAACTCACCTAACTCATTGCAGACAAAAGAATCGGTTTGAACTCTTTCACAAAATTTATAAGTTTCACAACACACTAGTACTGGCACATTGTAAGACTTGGCCACCATCGCTATCAATGATTGGCCTACCCGTGACATCACGTAACCATTTGCCAGCAATGCATGAGCTCCAAGAAACACCTTAGACACCTAGAAATTAGATACAACACTAGTATTTTTCATTAAGTTCAATTGATATGGTTGATATCAAATTAAATTGACCACAGACGCAAATGGCCATTTGACAGCCATGAGACTTGTTTTTGCCCCTCAAATAGCATTCTATTCTCCCCTGTCATCAAGTCCACTGTTCCAAATACCATGGTTACACAGGTCAGGGAAACAGTAGAAAGGAGAAAATTAAACACTATTCCAGAAACAAAACAAGTGGCTCTCTCACTGTTGACAAGATCACAATGCCAATTTGCGTCACGGTTTATTCATTGCCATACAGCCATGACATGTCGTCCCAAATATGGTTTCCATGTAAAATTTCACAAGATGTACCAATACAGTTTGCACTAGCATTTCAGATATAAGAAGTCATGAAAAATTAAAAATTGTTTACAGCAAACAAATCTGCAGTCTTCTCTTATACTCTTCAATATTCAAGAAAATTGGCTATTTTTGTTTCAATCTTCTGAAGGAAAGTGTAGATTATAAACAGGAATTATTTTGTGGATTTGTGATGTAAAGAGGGAACTGGTGGTGAAAAGGTTAACAAAAGAGAATATGATGGCTGAGAGCATGTTCAATTTTACACAGCCCCCAAGAAGATACATGTAGAAATCAGTTGTCATGAGAAAAACAAGCAGCCTCTCGGCTGAGATAGCTCCGCTGTTAGCAATGCACATTTCAATTAAAGAACAGAAGATATCATTAGAAAATGAACAATATGCATAGTATCAATGCAATGGGACTTGCTGTTTTCAACAAGAATTCAAAAATATAATTTTTAACCATAAATGATTGTGGTTTTTAACAAGAAAAAAATATCACTTTTTACCAAAAATGACAAAAATATTCACCAAAATTAGAGAATTGAAGATATCATCATGAAATGAACAAATTTGAGAGTGGTCCATATGTAGTATCTATATATGTAATATCAAAGCAATTGGACTTGTCGTTTCTAACAAGAAGTCGAAAATATCACTTTTTACCAAAAATGACAAAAATATTCACCAAAATTAGAGAATTAAAGATATCATTACAAAATGAACAAATCTGAGAAAGGTCTACATGTAGTACCTATATATGTAATATCAACGCAATTGGACTTGCGGTTTTTAAGTTGAAAATATCACTTTTTACCAAAAATGACAAAAATGTTCACCAAAATTAGAGAATTGAAGATATCATCATGAAAGGAACAAATCAGAGAGAAGTCTACCCAAGGTACATATACACCAAGTATGAAAGCATTCATTTGTAGTTTTCAAGAAGAAGTCGAAAAAGGAAAACATTGACACGGACGACGACGACGACAGACAATCACTCATATGATAAGCTCCGCTCGACAAAGTCAACAGCGGAGCTAAAAATATATTTTTAAAAGAAAGAAATGTAGAAAACCCAATAATATCTTACTTCGGGCATCATATATGAGACAGCATTGATCAGAATATAATAACATTTCAAACCATATCTAATCAATCTTCTTGCCGCTTCTCTGCCTTCGTTTTTAGCACGTCCATCCACAACAATCACTGTGAACTTTTTACCGGCGTCGTGTGCATCTTTTAAAACTTTCAGAATCACAGATGAACTGTGAAATGAAAATTGACGAGAGGATCTCCTTTAATTACTATCTACTTAGTAATTTCCAATCACAAGGTGTGAGTTAGTATACAACGCTGGGTATGGATGCTGTTATATGGGTGTTCCATAGAAATGCATGCAACATTTGTCAATCTCTGATATTTTGATTTTCACTATTACTTATCTCTTTTTATTACTTTAATCCTTCAGTAATTTATAACTTACTATTAAATAGGTGAACTTACCAACCATATATCATTATAACATCGTCATCATGTATTTTCTTTATAGCGTAAGTTTTAGATATGGCTTCTCCCGCTAACACTATCTTCCTCTGTATATATAGCTGTATACTCTCAAACAGTCGATGTTTAGCCTACAATGCAGCCATGAAATAAACACCATTTGATTTTTAATTTTCACGATCAGATAATTTGAAGACAAAATTTTCAGAAAATATTCGCTGTTTCAAAATTATGCCAACTTTCCCAACTTTAAGCCTGTTACGAGTAATGTACACAGTTACTGTGTTAATCTTTACATCACGAGATTTTCTCGCCTAAATTTTTATGCACTTTACTTTCTTGTATTATTCAATATTTCTGAAAATGAATCCTAATTTTGGAGCCAACAGTTTTTACTGTTTTGTCCTAATCTTCTGAAGGTAAGTGCAGACTACAAATGAAACTATTTTGTGAATTTGTGATAAAAAGAGGGAACTGGTGGAAAGGTTAAGAATTACTATGAAGCAACTTCAACTAAAAGCTACAGTGATAAAAATTGTGATAAAAAAGTTAAACGTCATTTGTTCATGGGTCACAACTTTCATTTTAAACTAAAATAAATGGAAAATCTACTTTCCAGGTAGCTTAGCTAATTATGTTCAAAATTTGATTCCTAGTCAATATCATACCAAATCAACTTCTATTTCCTAACAAATGATTGCACTTCCTGAACATTAGTTTTAATGATGGATGGTCCTTTTACATTTCTGAATTTGAGAAATGAGAATATAGGTAATGCAGCAATGGAATGATTTACTGTAAAATACTTTATTTTCGCTATTTTCGCTGAAGGGATGATTCAGTGAAAACAAAATCCAGCGAATATACTTCTTTTCCTATATTTCACATTAAACTCATCAAAAATCAGTGAAAATACATTCCAAGCAAAACGCCCAAAAAGCCTTTTCAGCGAAAATTAATTCCAGCGAAAATAAAGTATTCCACAGTAGTGCCATTTTTAGTTGATTTGCCTTGAAGTCAAGCATGCACCATGTGTAAACCAAACATAATGTTTACTTTCCCATACATACTGGATTTCTATTGTCACAGTTACATTAGCAGCAGTTTTTAAATATTAATCCAAATTATTTACTTCAAACACAACTCGTTGCTCCACAACATGTCACATCTTACTCCAATAAGAACACTGTCAGGAAGACGGTTTTCATTTGATATCTGTCAAAAAAAATTGTTTCCACCACCCCCCACCCCCTCTGACCACTGTGCAGCTCACCCCTAAATACAATGGTTTGACCGTAATGTTTTTACCTCTTTGTCTTTCATGTCTGATGGTGTCGTGGTGATCTGCAGCTTCAGGTACTTGATAGCATTTCCCATACTCACTGATAGAGGGCGACATTGTGTTAGAAAACTGAAACGAATAAAACAAACTGATTTTTTGCCGAGTTCAATCAACACGATTTTCAGGTATGTAAAATGAACTATTCCTATTTCTTTTGACCAATAAACCATAAGTCAATGCGAAAATCCACACATGATGAACATAAAGTTTGAAAATCATTGAAAGATGATACTAGTACTGTAAACTAATTTTTTGAAAATTTTCCCGAATTTCCCGAGTCACAGGAAAAACACAATATTTTATAAAACAGTGAAAAATATACTTGAGTTGTTCTCATTAACACCATTATTGTGAATAAATATGCTACCCAACAAGCAATATTGCAATGTAGCAACTGTAAAATAATTTATTTTCGTTTGGAATTAATATTTGCTGTAGAGGAATGATTCAGTGAAATTAAAATATACCTTTTTCCTTATATTTTACATTCAACTCGTTAAAAATGAGTGAAAATAAATTCCATACAAAACATCCAAAAACTTTTTCAGCAAAAATTAATTCCAGCTAAAATAACGTAGTTTACAGTACATTGTAATTGTTTTGCTAACAAAGTAGCAATATTGATAGTTCAAATGTAACCTTTTCTGATATCAACATTGTAATATAGCTGGCTCGTTTGTTCAGTAAATCAGTAAATCATCAAATCATGTAAAATTCCTATTAGTGAAAGTTAATAAACGCATTACAGTAATCGTCAAGAATAACATTCAAGTAACTCTGGACAGCTCAGAGCAAGAGGGGAGAGTTATGGAATCTACAATGTGTTCAATGATTTTCAGTCCAGCTATCAAACTTTATTGGAACGTGCTGGACTACAAACACTAGAGATGTCCAGGAATCGTGACATACTTGTTGAAGTTTATAAAAGTGTGAACAAACTCTCCCCATCTTTTATGTGGGATTTATACAAGGAGAAAAATGTAATGTACAATTTAAGAAATTCTCATCAATTACAGTTAAAACAACCAAGGACTAAACGCTATGGACTGGAGTCATTGTCTTATTATGGTGCTTAAATGTGAAACTCGCTTCCTAATCGAATGAAGGAGTGCAAAGATTTGTATTCTTTTAAGCAAATGGTGTCATTGTGGTCACCATCATTTTAAGATATTTAATTGATTATTTGTGAAATCTTACTGTTGTTTTTCTCTGTGTTTGATGTTTGTAATTTTTGCTTTTGTTTGATGTAATTTTTAGTAGTCAGTGATATTAGTCTTTGGCTAGGTATGGTATTTCAAACTGACTTTAAATAAACAAATTGAATTGAATTGATTCATATTATTATCAAAACAAGTTTAACACACACATACATCACATGGAAGAAAGTTGCAGACTCTGTTTTTTTATTTGCATTTGATTAAGCGTACCTGATGTATGGTTTAATAGAAGACTCCAAATCTCTTGCCAGTTCTTTATCTGGTGGCGTTGTGTAGTCTTTGATAACAGACATAAACGCTCTCATCAACGCTATGCACCGAGCGTTAGAACCACACACTATACCCTCCGCATATTGTAAACCAAGACGAATGATGGCGGGATGGATTCCACCGCTCCCAAAATTTATACCTATAAAATATTATTATTACTGAAGATTTACCACAGAATTAATGTTTAGGAAGTAGCAGTAGCATGTTTAGGATGTAGCAGTAGCATGTTTAGGATGTAGCAGTAGCTTGTTTAGGATGTAGCAGTAGCATGTTTAGGATGTAGCAGTAGCATGTTTAGGATGTAGCAGTAGCATGTTTAGGATGTAGCAGTAGCATGTTTAGGATGTAGCAGTAGCATGTTTAGGATGTAGCAGTAGCATGTTTAGGATGTAGCAGTAGCATGTTTAGGATGTAGCAGTAGCATGTTTAGGATGTAGCAGTAGCATGTTTAGGATGTAGCAGTAGCATGTTTAGGATGTAGCAGTAGCATGTTTAGGATGTAGCAGTAGCATGTTTAGGATGTAGCAGTAGCATGTTTAGGATGTAGCAGTAGCATGTTTAGGAAGTAGCATGTTTAGGAAGTAGCATGTTTAGGATGTAGCAGTAGCATGTTTAGGGTGTAGCAGTAGCATGTTTAGGGTGTAGCAGTAGCATGTTTAGGATGTAGCAGTAGCAT